ATAATTATTAGTTATTTTTTTTTGGGGGGGGATCTGATTCGTACGGGGACCTTGATGCTGGAAACTTGTATTTCTCGAAAGGTAAATGCAGTAGTATGTGGTCTGGTATTGAATTGAACTTGAGCTTTACAGCATGTTCAGTAAAATCGTAAACTACTACTTTTGCTGTCAAATTCTTCAAATCTTCTTGGGGGGGGGGGGCAATTGCCACTTCTGTACCCGCAAGTTTAGTTCCCGTATGTGTGTACATTTTTTGTAACCCTTAAAATTTCCTTAATTTTAAGAATCATAGGTTTGAGATAGATTAACATTATGTTTGGGCACTATTTTAAAACAACAGGCTGAATACAAAAAAAAGCAAATATAATTTATATCGTGTCTTGAAAGCAACAATAGTAGGGTAAAAATAACTTTCAGTCTCAAATATCAAAGCTTCGGTTTAAAGTTAATGTTATAGATAGCAGAACACGTTTTGCTAACATGTAATTTATTGGACTCGTACGTTACATTTTCAATGACACTATTGGTGTAATATTAATGCAATAAACGGTATTTTTACATTTTCAGGAAGCTCAAGATTTACCATCTCGTATTTATGGTGGGATCATTGATCCTTATTTGTTAGTTCAGATTATCAAAGACAGAGGTCACAAGCGTCGCATTAAGGGTCGCTCTGTTCCATATTATGAATTCCGGAGTAGTACAAAGAGAAAAAGTCAACATCCTCTATTCCGAGAGACAGTGATAGTGAATATGCTGAGCTCACAACTGAAAGACTACGTTCTAAGAATTGCTGTGGTTGATGAAGAGAAGATTGTGAACGACACAATTCTTGGAGAGATCTCAATTCCCTTACGGGAGTTCCATCTGGAGGAAAATCATGTGCACGTATTAGACCTACTGGAGCCAAAACAAGTAACTTTACATAATTATACTCACTGTAAATAAAAAATAATTACTTTTAAAGTTAGAAATCTTCGCCTCATACTGTTGTAGAAATGTTACGTGTAAAATAACTCAATAATTTAAGAGTGTAAAAGCACATGCATTAATTAAGAGCTAATGAAGGATTAACTATAGGTAACACACTACTTTTGGTTATGCAGACCATGAACGATGAAGAAATGATCTGAGGATGAGAGATTTATAATCCCTGTATTCTCAAACTCAGTATGCAACTAAAAAAACTTTCTTTTTTGTTTTGTTTTTTACAGGACAATGGAGATATTCTGTTTGGCTTAAGCTACCTACCAACTGCAGAACGTCTGACATTTACTGTTGTAAAAGGCAATAATTTTCGTGTTGTGACTGATGATGTGGACACGTTTGGTAAGTAAAAGGTTAAAAAAGGAGGACTTTGCATAAATAATCAATATGACTGAAACTTGTTGGAATAACACACTTCCTAACTTTGGACACCATTATGAATTAACAAAAATCAGGTACTGTAATGAATAACTTCCATTAGGAAATCATCGTGACAACATCTTATTTATAATTGGATTGAAAAACAGACATCTTAAGACGTAGTGAGTACAAACATGATAGTTTCTAATACACTGAGATACTCCCCATTGCATTTAACATAGAATATTTGTATAGGATTAAGTTTGATTATAAAAGACACTTAACGACAAGATTATCTACTTAAAGAGGTATTTCATAAATATCACCGTCCCCGAAAAAAATCCAAAATGATGCTGTTAATATAAACCTTTTTTATTCAACACATTGCAGCCTTGGTTCTTCAGTAATTTTATTATATAGAGTTATAAAGGCTTATGCATTTTAAGTATGCAAGTTGGTTTCCTTAGCTCCTTACGTTCGAGTACTTTTGTTTCACAACGGAAAGATGCTAAAGAAAAGGAAGACGTCTAGTCGCCTAGGAACCGAGTGTCCATCGTATAATGAATCTCTCACTTTTGATGTTCCGCTCTTGGAGATGGAGAACGTCATGTTCATTGTAGCCGTAAGCCACCGAGACACGACCTTGAATTATAAGCATTCTACCAGTCCCAAGCCGGTCAAACGTGACAAGCACGTGGGTAAAGTTGTGATCGGCCCTCATGCACGTGGAAGTGCTTTTCATCATTGGTTGGCAATGAAGAAGTCGCCTAGGAAGCAAGTAACCCAGTGGCATACCATTCATTAAAAGAAAAAATAAACTGCTGAAAACAACTTGTTTTATAAGATATTCATCACGTTTGGATAAAAGTGTGCATACAAGAACTGAACATTTCATTTTTTTTTAACAATGGTGTGCTGATAAATAATATATATATATTCTGCCTCGGGAAAAGTTTTACGTAATTCGTACAAAGGTTCCTGAACTGTATTTCGTTTAAGTTTTTCACAATGTTTATCACTTTAGAATTGAAAGTAGAGCTTTAATTTTTATAGTAATACGAGTATTCGATTGAATGGAATAATAATATTGATTTTTAGATGTTTTCTATTGCTGAGGGCTGACTGGTTTTCCTCATGTTACAACAAATTTTATATTCTTATTATAACAGTGGTTTTATATTGGTTTAACAAATTTATCGCTATTTTTAAACTAATTTCAACTGACATTTCAACAAAAGCTAAGCGTTCTACTGTGTTTGAAATCAGATGCTGAAGAAACAACGAAAACCATTAAGGCCTAATACTTAAGTTAAATATCACGCTTGACAACAATTTGTTGTCCTATAGTCGAATTAATCACTTCATTTTTACATGTTTCTTAAGTGAAACTTATATATATATCTATAATGTATATAAACAGCCTTTCAGATTTTTAGCTATTGTAGGCTTAGCCTAGTTAATGAATTCTGATAAGACACCCATGACAGTCAGGAGGAAAGTGTGTTTTCTGATTCTGAGGCCATTTGTGACATGTGACAGATCAGAGGTAGATCTGAGTTCTTATACTGACCAAAGGCCATTTGTGACTTATGAAAGACAAATAGGTAGACCTGTCTGATACTGAGATCATCTGTGACTTGTGACAGGCCGCAGGTAGATCTAAGTTCTGATTCTGAACTAAAGGTAATCTGTGACTTATGACACACGAGTCTGGAACGATATTTTTACACGCTTGTGGCTAGAAATCCGTATGGACTTGGTGATGAATGGACATACATCTAACCCAGTAACTTACATCTGTTAAACACTGTTATCCTTAGCATTGTTTAGATATAGTAGAATGAGGGCTCCTAACGCTTAGCTTCACAGAAACATTGGTCTTCAAAGCACTGCACGTCTATAAAATTGGTTTATCTTACAGAAAAATCTTATTTATTTGTTTTAATTAACGTGTAAACTATAAGATACTGGGATATATCAACCATACCAATGTCATAATGGTTTAAGTACTCATAAACTGTTATTTTTTTAACACATAATGAACATTTTTTGATCACAAAAGTAAACGCACATTATTTTCTTGACTTCTGTGAAACAGTTCTAATACCGAACAATTTCACATTGTTAATATGTTACATATAATTAAACTGAAAGAGAGATAGTCTATACTGAGCCCACGAAAGCAACAACAACTAGTTAAAATATATATTTTTTGTAAATATTGACATTCTGCTTAAATTGTTTTGTTGAAGAAAAAGAATACGCCGTCCAGCTATATGTGTGGTTGTAGGTTTTTCACATGGTTTTGTATTATTCATCGGACTTGATAATACTTTTACGTGGCATCATTCCATTATTTCCGTGCCACTTTGTAGTGCAATAATTAATGTTTATGAATTTTAATAGATTGGCTGTTCAGGAAGCTCAAGATCTGTCTTCTTAACCCTATAGCAATCATTGACTACTGTTTGTTAGTTTAGAGTATCAAATACAGAGGTGATAAGCATCCCAGTGAGGGTCGTTCTGTGCCAGATTACGAATTTCTGGTAAGCAATAAGAGAAAAAAAAAGTTCAGCATATTCTTTGGCATTGACTGTGAATATGGTGAGCTCAAGCGAAAGGCTACTTTCTAACGATTACTCTGAATCCTCGAGGGATCTTAACTCCTTTACAGAAACTCCATGTACACGCTTTAGACCCTACTGCAACCAAAACTAGCGATTTGGTATGTTTTTACCTAATGTACGCAACAAAATAATTATTTCTGCAAATATTAATACTGCTTTTTATTACCAAGAGGTACAGGTTATATATTGGACTATGTTTAATACATGAATAAGAGCGTTATATTTCAGTGTTATGAAAGAAGACATCGTATTATATATTTTATCTAATGTTATCTATTTATCTAGTAAAACAATATAGCTTTAACTTTGTATTTTAGGCTTAACAGTAGCTCTTACCTTGTGAAATCGTTTCATTAAAATGGGCTCGGCATGGCCAGATGGTTAGGGCGCTCGACTCGCAATCTGCGGGTCGCAGGTTCGAATACCCGTTACACCAAACATGCTCGCCCTTCCAGCCGTGGGGGGGGGGGGTTATAATGTGACGGTGAATCCCACTATTCGTTGGTAAAAGAGTAGCCCAAGAGTTGGCAGTGGGTGGTGATGACCAGCTGCCTTCCCTCTAGCCTTACACTGCTAAATTAGGGACGGCTAGCGCAGATAGCCCTCGTATAGCTTTGCGCGAAATTTAAAACAAACTTCATTAAAATGTGTTTGTACTGATCAATAATTAAAAACAACTGTTTTATCCGTACAATCAAAGACTATAGTATATTTATATTATTTAATTTGCCTGTGAAATTCGGTTGTTCTATCTATCTATCACGTACTTTTTGGATCTGTTAGTTTTATTAGAATATTTTTTGAACAAAACTTAAGCGGTTACGCTTTCTTAAGTTGAATACAGAATGAAAAACCTTTTGATCACTTAATTTTTAATATACCAGAAGATATATATTTAATACTAACTAACTAACTGATTTGGCAGTAAATTAGGTTGTTATATCTACCGAGCCCTAAACGGGCTTCAGAGAGGGGCGCTCAGAAACTGTTGTTTTTCTTCAGCCCCGCACGCGAGTTTAGGATATTAATTCTATAAGGGAAAGATTGATCGTATAACCTTCTTGACAGGTATGATACATACTGACAGTTAAGCTCGTGCCTGATTATTATATACCACGAGAGATAACATGAAGTGAAATATTTCACTTGAACTAGAGTTCTATCTATCTGGGCATCCGAGAAAATCTGTCATTGAAGAGCTCGAAGAAACGAAAGGCGAGAAGGGAAGAAAAACGTGATTGAAGCTTGAACTCATATTTAATACTTTCAAAGTTAAGAAATTAAAAACTATTACTGCGACGTCTCTCGTCTCGTCGAGCTGAGTTCGGGTGTGTCCTCGCAGTTAAAACGGGGGCAGAAGGCTCTCCACTGAGAAGCTTAAGGTAGATGGTAGGAATAAGATGACTGGGTATAAAGTATAAGTAAAAATTAAGAAAAACTTAAAGTGAAAATAATTTTTACCCATCCAATACACACATTAAACATGAACTAAGATAAGAGCTTATTTTGTATGAAATTAACGTTATTCTAATATTTGTTAAATTCTAAAGATTAACCCAAATCTCTGCCAGTTTCTTCTATATCTTGTACATGAGAAACCAACCCGTAAGAGAAGAAACTGTCAACTAAGCACTCCGTTGTACACTCTTCTATTGTTCTTCACTTTAATCTAGGATATTCGTTGTACACTCTTCTATTGTTCTTCACTTTAATCTAGGATATTCGTTGTACATTCTTCTATTGTTCTTCACTTTAATCTATGATATTCGTTGTACACTCTTCTATTATTCTTCACTTCAATCTAGGATATTCGTTGTACACTCTTCTATTATTCTTCACTTTAATATATGATATTCGTTGTACACTCTTCTATTATTCTTCACTTCAATCTATGATATTCGTTGTACACTCTTCTATTATTCTTCACTTCAATCTATGATATTCGTTGTACGCTATTCTATTATTCTTCACTTCAATCTAGGATATTCGTTGTACACTCTTCTATTATTCTTCACTTCAATCTAGGATATTCGTTGTACACTCTTCTATTATTCTTCACTTCAATCTAGGATATTCGTTGTACACTCTTCTATTATGATTTACTTCAATCTAGGATATTCATTGTACGCTATTATATTATTCTTCACTTCAATCTAGGATATTCGTTGTACACTCTTCTATTATTCTTCACTTCAATCTAGGATATTCGTTGTACACTCTTCTATTATGATTTACTTCAATCTAGGATATTCGTTGTACACTCTTCTATTATGCTTTACTTCAATCTAGGATATTCGTTGTACGCTATTATATTGTTCTTCACCCCAACTTAGGATTTCACCTAACAAGAACTTTAAAAAATGAATACGAAGTAAAACATATACAAGATACATAATACAAGAAAAAACATGATAAAGAATTACTATCTGCTTACTGTTGAGAAAAAGTAGGACTTATCAGTCTTAACTAAACTAATGAACATTTAGCTGAGCCTTGGATTTAGCTTTTTCTCGCAAACATCTCAAAGCTAGCTTTTCAGCAAATCTACAAATGACTAACAGTCTCAGAGGTCCCTCCTACTAAAACTGAACTGAAGACCTATAGCCTAATTGTACGCTCTATGATCTAATCTGTCAAAATTTAAAAATCTATTATTCGCTGTAACGAAATTATTATTATGTATTTATTTTTAATATGAACGTTGTTTGGATTGAATTTGTATTTAGAAATATGCGTGACTTCTAGCATTAGATATGTGTTGCATATAACGAATTTGTTGTATATTTATTTTAATGTCAACGTTTTTTCGAATAAGTTTATATTTGAGAACGTGTCTAGCTTACTGTGTTAGTTACATATGGTGAAACACCGGCCAATTTTCCAAGATTGTAGAATATTCGTGAACACAAAAATCAACAATATATCCACTTCCGTAACTGGTATTATCAGAAGTTTCTAGCAAATGTGTCTCGCCTATGAAAAACAACAGGGAAATGCACCAAAAAACAACAGAGAACAGAGATAATATATAAGTCTGCTAAGAAACTGTTATAACCGTGTGTACGCGATAAGCCGTGATTTTGCTAACCCTTACCAACCGGAAAATATACGACATTTGGCCAGGAATAGCTATAAATTTCGAACGTCAGGAAATTCTTATCAAATGTTAGTATCTTTCCAAAAATATTGCTGGTTTCTCATCGGACATTAGTGGTTTTATGAAAATATTATCTTACTTCGACGGTCCCTAGCTAGCTTCTCGATAATTGTATGTACATCGATTTCAAGTTAACTCGCTGGATATCAAGGAGACTCTGAA